CAATGGCATATATCTAATTGTACTGAAGGACAGGAAGTGAGATAACATTCATAGACACGGCCCATACATTTGTCAGAAAAGAAGAATTAGGTGAATTGTGAGCTGAAACGAAATGCTGGACAATAATAGAGCTGCCAAGTTCATTAATACTTGACACTCATTTACATGGATCTCTGAGGGTACGTGTACATTTTAGCCAAGTCTGGTCCTGGTCTGTGGCTTTAGACTTTTGGTTTTGTTGTGGGCTCAATGTCTGATAGAAATTTAAAGACAATAATTACCTGTCATAGTAAATGTGGTAACTTATACCTTGAAAAAGATGCATGTGACATGTACTATCGTTCAATTGGCTTCATACTGAACCTGCACGATTAATACATTCACATACGGACTTAAGCATCCAGCACGCTGCAGGGCAGATGGCTAAACTGGGTCACACATACACACCTGAGCCGGAGGCACTCGAGGTACTCTTGCTTGCTCCTTGAAAACTCATGAACACGTCAACTCTGTATAAACAGTGTACTTTACCCGTATGCTTAACACATCAGGGTCAGGGTTAACTCACATTAAACATTATCACATTTTAATGCTGTTAAGTTTCAATGCCTCCCTATGTAAATTAATACAAATTAATAACAGTGGAGACTTGCCTGCACCTCAACATTAAACTTAAAATAGCATCACAACCACTAATGCAACATGTGAACAATAAGTCACATTCCCCCATTCAACAGACTGTCCAATCGGTCTGTGACAATTGCTGGAGGTTTGAGAGTTGTGCTGCTACTGGCACAGCACCTCTGGTGACTCAGAAGGCACCACAGGTGAGGGTGGTTTGGGAGAGGCCGGTGTTGGGGGCATGAGTGAGATTTGCGTGTCTGTGTGAGGAGGTCCCACCTCATCAGGGGGCACCAACAACTCTCCCTGTGTTTCTCTCTCCAGCACTGTTGCTGGTGGACACTCTCCCACAGTGGACTGTCTCACCAAGGGCCTCTCTGTGGAGTTGTCCATCTCTGAGCCTGTGTCGTGACGCAGGCTTACATGATCCTGATGCCTGCAGAACACACGTCCATCCTTCAGCTTAACAACATATTTGGGTGATTGACTCCTCCATACTTGGGTCTGCATCCCATCAGCATCTCAGCTGAGGTGCATGCAGCCGTTGTCTGTGGCGTGAGGCGGTATTTGCACAAGAAACATGAAAGCCTCATGCTCAGGGAATCTCCTGTCATTCACAGTCTGCACAGCCCGCTCCGTCAATTGAGGCTGAGCGGAAAGGGGCCGTCCCGACATGATGAATGCCATTCTGTTGGATGAACTCACCGAATAGCTCACTTGTGAATGTTGGGCAATCCATGGACTGCAAACACCTGTCTGAGCTCGTCTATGGTTGAGGGAGCTGTGATGTTGCTCATGACATGGGCCTATCTACTTGGAATGTGCATCCACCATTATCAGCAGCATTTGTCCCATAAAGGGGCCAGTAAAGTCCAAGTGCCACCCGGACCAACTTTACTTTGTTCTCTAGATCCTGATCCATATTTGGCCACTAGATGGAGGACCTTGCCAAGCTTTTGATCCTAGACACCATTGAATGTGTCTCATGTATTTTGTCCACAATCTGTCTACGTCCAGGGGGAGGTACGACAACCCTCGACTCCCAGAAAATGCATCCATCCTGCAGACTCAGTACTGTTTTATGTTTTGCCTGCCCTTCCACAACAGTTGGCCAGCCCTGTAAAAGAAGCATTTTGACTCGGGAGAGGATCGGGTCCCTCACCGTCCACTGCTTGATCTGGGTCACTTTTACAGGAGTTTTTGCCAGCCTCTCCAAGGAAAACATAGTTTCTGGAGGCACATATGTAGGAGACAGGATCTCCGGCAACAGCAGTTGACTCAGAGCGTCAGCGTTTGTACTATCCTTACCCGCCGTGTGCAGTATAGTGTACTGGTAGGCTGACAACGTGAGAGCCCAGCGCTGTAACCTGTCTGAGGTTAGCGGTGGAATGCATTTGGTCTCACTGAAAAGGTTCAACAGTGGTTTATGGTCTGTGACTATTGTAAATGGTCTGCCATAGAGGTATTGGTGACCTTCTTTGTCTAACTGAGAGTTACCCTTCTCCACTGCAGTCAGGATCCTTGAAGCAAAACCAATGGGTTTCTCTGCACCATCCTCCATCACACGCAAGAGTGGTTGGGGCAGACATAACTCTGTCACATGACAGTCTTTGGCAGGGTCAAAGTGAACCAGCAGCTTTGCTGAGTGGAGGACCTCTTTGACATCCTTAAAAACTGTCTCCTCCTCCATATCCTACTTCCACTTAGTGTCATTGCAAAGCAGCTTGTACAGTGGGGCCAAAACTTTTGAGAAGTCAAGAAGAAACTTGCCATACTAATTGACCATGCCCAAAAATGATCTGAGTTCATGGAGGCTTTTGGGGCTTGGGGCCTCCTTAATGGCCCTCACTCTGTCTTCCACTGGGCAGAGCCCCTCAGCTGTGATTCTGTGCCCCAGGTAGGTCACACTCTGAGCCCTGAACACACACTTACCCCATTTCAGTCGCAGCCCCGCCTATGAGAACATCCTGAGCACCTGTTCCAGGTTAGCCAGATGCTCCTCCTCCGTGGCCTCTGTGACCAAAATATCATCCAGATCCACGGCCACATGTGGAATCCCCTACAACAAAGTGTCCATTTAGAAAATGGCAGGGCTCGATGCCACTCCAAAAACCAGCCGGTTTTATTTGAAAAGGCCCTTTAAGTGTTGATGGAAATCTTCATTAAGGAGCAGTTGTAGGTGGGCGTGGCTAATGTCATGTTTTGTGAAATGCTTCCCCCCAGCGAGGGTCACAAAGAGGTCCTCCACCGCAATGGGTACTCTGCCGACTTGGAGTCTTGGTTCACCGTCAAATCCTTGCTGTCTTGTCCTCCTTTAATATGGGGATAATGGGAGCCGCCCACCTTTAAAACTGGACTGGCTCAACGATGCCCAGTCGCTACAAACATTCAAGCTCCTCCTCAACTTGTTCTCGATTCCCATCCCTAGATATAAACCTTATAGTCAAAATGTATGTATTGTAAAAAGAAAAACAGTGGTTCAGTTATTTGGAGCTGGTTCAATTTTAAAAGCTCAGATGAGCAGTTGTGTTGCCTTTTTTATTGTTATTTGCACAGCTGTGTATTTTGTTAAGCAGAAGAGGAAATCCTGTAATTGTACTCTATTGCTCTCAGAGATCGGCCTGTTTTCATTTAATGTAGGTTATTTGTTTTATATCATTTTCATATACATGTTCTGCAGCTGTATATTTTAAAAAAGGGAAGGAAACCCTGTCTTTGAGTTTTATTTTATAAAAGTGTTTCCAACATCTTACAACTCACAACTCAACACTTAAAAAATACTGAGATATGATTTTTGATTTTGGTTTTTACCCACAAACACTTTGATTGGAACTGATCATGTCGTCATTGTCAATAATTGTTAGCAATACAACTTAGGATAAAATAACTTACAGAAGTGTGTAGGAAAAAAATTACCCATAAAACCTGTGTATGACCATGTACCACAGCAGTATCAGCCTCTCACACAGCTCCTGTTTTCAGACTCTCTGCTCCTCCAGGAGATACATTTCTAAATCTATGTTAAAGCTGAACTGTTGGTGCTGAACTTCGGAGTAAACAGTGTCACCTGTGAGCCCACACTGAACAGCACAGGTGTCCCTCAGGTGTGTGTGAGTTCTCCAGTTGTCTTCACATTATACAATAGTAAACATGTCAGCAGGAAGCTCCATAACTACATCATTAAGGTTTTACACTCCTCATCCCGTTGTAGATAAATTATAGAAGTTAATAGGTGATCAGAGCCCAGCATTATTCATTCATTATTCACTCCCTTTAAACAAGTAACTTATAATTAACCAGGTCTTGGGTGAATCTTATTTGAAAACAGTTTGACTGAAACTACAAAATAAAACATTTGCAACATTTTTGTGAACAAATGTGAAGATTAAAAAAAGATTAAATATTTTTGTCGACTAAACATTTCCAGATTTTCTCTTCCAACCATATAGGTCATAGGTACGCCCCTACGGCGGCAGGTGTACCAGACCTTGCTTGTCATGCTTACAGTAATAACTACACGGACTGTCGCCATGATCACTCTAATAAAGATCATGGCTTTCTTAGGAGAAAAGATGGTGATTTGGGTTAAAATAAGTACTTCCTCAACATTACATGGTCTTTGTTGTCATGGTTACAATAAAAACAGCTAGTTTCAGCTAGAATCAAACACTGCTCTCCTGTGTCCCAACCTCCTCCTGACGTGGACTTTGTCATAATTACCACGACCACTAGATGTTGCCTAGCAACAAAACAGAACTACAGGTCACAATAACCTGCTGCACAGACAGCTATGGGCCTATTTTTTAAAAACTCTCAAAAGACTCAAATAAAAAGGATGAGGTCGACCAGACATGACTAAAACTAACATGGACATTTGATCTCAGGACTAAGACTAGATCTCAAAATAACAGGAAAAATCAACACTAGTCCTCACTTGTTTATAAAATGAAGCTTTCATATGTATAGTATCATATACAGTATCTGGATGACCGCATCAGTGAACTAAAGGTAGAACAGAATCAACATCCTCAAATTTGCAGAAGTGGTGATCTATCAATATGTCCATTTATCCGTGTGGTTGAAACACTGAAGAGCGTCGCTCAGTCAGACTAGATGACTTAAAGTCAGTGCACACACTGTGATCCTGTTTGCCCTGCAGTTCTGATCCCAGTCACACTGACATGTTTTTGGCAGTGAATATTATTATCATTGTCAGTCACAGGTGTGCTGAACTTTACACTGTCTTCCCACCTGTGCACCATGAGTCTGACACCAAAACGCCACACAGGAGCACCACGTGCATAGAGCAGGGCACTGCAGCGTGTTTCTTAGCTGGTCAGTTGGGTATCTTCAGTGACGGTGTCTCTCTTTTCCTCCAGGATTCTCCACCAAAGCCAGACATGGAGCAGAAGCTGCGTTCAGCCTCCAGTGTAGACGAACTGATGAGTCTTATCTATCCCTCATACTGGACTGCTCTGAAGTGCAGGTCCAAACTCTCGGCCGCCGCTGCCTCCTCCGCCTCCAAGCTCTCGCAACGGCCGCAGCCTCGCCGTCTGAGGCCGCTGGCGGATTCAGAGGAGCCAACATTCGCTGCTGCCTACCTCAACTTGGACATCTTGAAAAGTATGTTTACACTTTTATACATAAAGATAGGGGGAGGTCAGCATAGCAGCACTGAGTTAGCTAATGAAAACTGGTCTTTCAGATTATACAGTTTGATTTATTGTCACAAAATGTTTCTACACCACTTAGAGCTCCATACTCTGCAACTTATTTCTCCCAGACTCTGGGAACCACATGCATCATATTATCTTGTTAGTTCACATCAAGCTCAGTCTGTTTCTTTGCTGTCAGACTCATTTGGTAAATGTGGATGTAGTTGTCTGAGATAATCACTGTTCCTGTTTTTAATAGAAAGAAACATGTGCAGTAAATACAGTGTATGATTGACTATTATGTCTTAAACTGAGCTAAAACAATATAAGGAAAGTGCATGAAACGCTCTAATACAATTTAACATGAATTTTGAAGATACTTTACAACTACATTTTGCATCAGTGCAGCTGTCTGTTAGCAAAGTGTTTACTTCTGTGCAGTGTTTTTGTCCCACACATGTAGTTTCATGTCCTTAGTGTCCATCATCAGTGTATCTGAAGATGTTCCACTTTAAATGCTTGTACTAAGCTCTTTAAGTAATTGCAATTTTCTAAGAAAAGGTTAAAACAAAGCTACAATAGTCTCCAGTTTTCTCACGGATTCTCTGTTGCTGCCATGTTTTTCAGTTTCACTGCTGAACTTTCAGTCTCAGTTCTGACACCAGCCTCTCGTGTGGTCGGGTGTTTCAGGATGCTGTGTATTTTATATTTTATATATTCTATAAGCGATACATATTCAGATGGACAGTGAGTTAGTCCACATCTTTGTACTACCTCTTCAACCTCTGTCTCACCTTCAGTAGCTCAGACTGCCAGGAAAAATGGGAGTGTTGGCAGATATGGAAGAAGAGCTAAAGAAGTCAGCACTCACTCTCCACACCTCTGCCAGTGATGGGTGCCCTTCTCTGTGAGTTCCAGAGATCAGGCTCCTGATGGTCAACAGCAGACGACCCTTGACGGTCCGTGCGTCCTGCGTGGCCTCGTTTCCCATCTATCGAGTCTTATCACTAGGGAGCGGCAGTGGGGCCTTGGAAACTGAAGCTTCACTGCGATGGCGCCAAATCGAACTTGATGTTGGGTGACCTATATAAACTTTGGTTATGTACTGTAACGCCCTTTGAGCTGTGGGCCACACTGGTGCCTTTAACTAGCTGAAGAAAAAAGGTGGTTCATGTGTGAGAGCTGATTGAAACTGGTTGTTTCATCACAATTTCTACTCAAGGTGAGACCAAGGTGGCATCTACATAGTACAAGGGCATGGACTAAAATTTCAGCAGTGAAACAAGGCAGCAAAAGAGAAATCCTGAGCACTTTTTTATAGTTCCATTGTAAGTTTATCTTTGAGGTGTTTTTTTTTGTTTCAAATAATTTTTATTCACTTTGATTTATTTTAGATTTTTTTGCCGTTTTTTTGCCTATACCACTAAAGGATATTACATGGGAACTTGATATATTAGGAAGAATCTATTACTGCTGACATCAGTCGCGGGCGATCGCACTGGTTCCACTTTGATGCACTCATGGCTTGGTAATGACCTCAGATCTGGCCAAAGTTCCCACAGTTCATACCTGGCAACGTCAGAATATATTTGTATATGTGTCTTTCTGCCTTTGTGTGTTGCCATCCAAGTGTATAGAAAGAGAACCTGATCTGTTGCATGGCTGTGGTGGAGGCCTGACTTTCTGTGTGTGTGCAGGTATAGAGTCAGAGTGGAGGAAGACTCAGTGCATGCCCAGGGAAGTGTGTATCGACGTGGGCAGGGAGTTTGGAGCTCCCACCAACATCTTCTATAAACCACCCTGTGTGTCCGTCTACAGATGTGGAGGATGCTGCCACTCTGAGGACAAACAGTGCAGGAATATCTCCACTGGTTACCTCAGCAAAACTGTAAGCACACTCTTCATTAATACTCACTGTTATCTTTTCAAATATGGACTCTGTTATATGAAAGAGTTCAGAACACATAAGGTCTGATCCATGGCTCAACCCCCGGCAATACACCTGTGGGTGCTGGATGAAACATCACACACACTTCTGCCTGTGTGTGTATGTGTGTGTGTGTGTGTGTGTGTGTGTGTGTGTTACAGTTGACTTTCTCCAGTAATCTGATATCTTACAGACCCCCCTCTGATAAAAATCCAGTGTTTCACCTTGTTAACATCCATATGATGTTTTTATATAATACACAACACCATGACTGAGTGTTTCCACCTTGAACTGCAGTGAACCAATGACTGTCTCATAAAAGCAGATTCAGACAGCCAGGGTTTCATACCTCACAAACCTAAGGAACCAATCCTGTCAACTGGTGGGGTTGGGGGGTGGGGCTAAATAAACCTGAAACCTTGTCAGTACAGAGAGAGAGTTAGCATTAGCACAATCGCTAACACTGTGTCAGCCACTGCCAGTTACAAGTTAACAAACAACATAAACAAATAAAAGATGCTAACTGTGCTAACCGTTCTGATCCGTCTGCTAGTCTCTGGTTCTGGTCTCAACAGACTCCTCCTCTGAGTCTGGGTCTGACTGAGGCTCAAGCATGTGGCTGAGTCTCTCTGATGTCTCCTCCTCTAACCATCTTCATACTCTCTGCTCTTTCACCTGTCCACCTGGAGACAGCAGGTGGTGGTGGGTGGGGCACAAGGCCTGATCTTAATTTTTTTTTCACTTTTTAAGAGAGAATACCATGTTAAACTAAATATTAATCATAGCAACAGTCATGTAAACAAGAAACCTTGTGACTGTAATTGTGGTTGGGGATTAGTGGAACCTACTTTCTCAGCTCGATCTCCCTGTGTTTCCAATCGGCTTTTTACACGTGTGCATGACAAAACAGAGCAGACAGGGAACGTACCTCCTGAGGAACTGGATGCAAGGAGAGACCATTACACAGGGCAACATGTCCACATATTTAAACTGAAATTAACGTGTAAGTAACGCGTAGAAGCTCAGCCCTCACAGCCTGCTCTGCTCTACACACACATACAGACCCCAGATAAAGTCAGGACCTCAGGACCAACACAGTTTACACGTGAAGTGCTTCTAAAATAAGGTGGAGGTAGAGCAGAAACATGATTAACCGAGGTGCTGCATGTATATGTGGACTTACAATAACCAGGTTACTGGAGTTCACGTAAATGCTTTGTCGGATTATCTGTGTTACCAGGTTTCTCTGAGCAGCCTGGTTATTTAAGTTCATGTAATGTCAACTGTGGTGTGTGTGTGTTTGTGTGTGTGTGTGTGTGTGTGTGTGTTTGTTTGCTTGTTTGTTTGTATGGAGGATGAAGTGGGTCACAGAAGATGAAACATATATACACTAGTGTAAGATGGTGTTAAACCTACGATCGTTGATATCACGCATAGTTCGTGTTGACAGTTGATTGTGATGTTAAAGGGAAAACAAGTCATTCAGTTAAAAGCTTTAGAGCTTAAAATCACTTTGGATTCAACACAGTAAATCATAACCAGACAAAAATAGTTAGTTTGCCCTGTTTTTTGAGCAGTTTTATTAGAAATTGTTACTGCATGTGACAGATATTACAACTTGTCAAATAAAATTATCACGAGGGCTTTACTTTCTTACTTTTTATAATGGAGCATATTCATATAGCACGTCTTACGTATTCTTATAGTCCTACTACTTATTTATAGTGGAGCATATCAAATAAAACGTGTTGATTTTGGTCATTGTTTACACTGAGATTTTGTCCATGATGATGTGTTTTTCATGGTCTTACCACTTTGATCCACCAAAGCCTTTTCCGTTTTACTCGTATTTAAATGTATTAATTAAGTCACTGTTATTTTATATAGCTGTCACAGAACACAGATATTTTCATTAAGTACATTACTGTCCCAGACATTTGATTTGAATAACATAAAATTAATCAAAAGGATTCTTAAAAAAAGATTTAATTTAAACAATAATGAATGCCATTGAACATTTAGCACACTGTATACAGAACACATAATGACGATGTAGGGAGTAAGAGAGACGATGATGAGGACGTCATGGACGGTTCTTCCCCTCAGGGACCAGTGGAGAAGGGGAGCAGGTTGCACCATCTCAGGCCACAACCGCCAACGTGGACATGAAGTCAGAGTTATAATTTTACCACACTGAGACAGTTTAAGCTATAAACTAAATGAATGTGGCTGTTGTGAGCGGAAGACAGGCTGGTGAACTTCAGTAAGGATGAGACACTGCGGGCACACAGATCACAGAAAAGATCACCTGTCAGGTAAATGACTTACCAAATTCAAATTCACTGAAGAAAAGGAAGCTATTAAAAATCACTTACAGTGTCATATCAGTGAATCCAGTCATTACGCAGCTAATATAGCGGCTAACATATAGATTAAAAAACAATTACGTTCGAGAACACAGGCTGACAAGTGACCAATAACTGCCACACAGAATCACAAAATCAAAATATCTTGATGTGTGAAAACAAAGACTCACCTTTATGTCATTAATTCAGTTTTCCAACTAACGTTTGTACATCCGTACGGCGTTTGCATCAACCCAGCAAACATCCTCGTTCCCGAGACACAGCTCGACCGAGTGCACGTACACAGCGGTGACGTTATCCAGAAGAAAAAAACACTTTTTGGGGCTTTTTGTGGGCTTCTTATAAATATTAAAAGTCCGTGGTTTAAAAATATACAATACAAAGATTAATAATTGACTGAGTTTGGACCGGAGGTGTCCGGTCGACAGTTTTACAGGCGTCTCTTTTACTATTGTGGTCTATGGGACAAATGCTTTTTGGGCCACAGGGGATTTTTTGCTGCAATACCGTGAGCGGCCATTGGGAAAAATTGGCTGCAAGGCAGAGCGGTGGCGCTGTGTCCAGCTCTTATAATACATCCATGATGAAAGCTAGGCAAAGCAGTAAAGTGAAGGCAACTGCCATGAGGCAGTGACGATTTCATTGGTTGACATTCTATTGGTTGGGGAATTTTAACAGGGTCATTTCGGGTCGAGAGCAGAAATCTGGGAGCAGAGGTCCTGTGAGCGAACAGGAGCAAGGAGGGGGACTGAAAGTGCAGCACAGAACATGTGTGCAGCAACAGTTTATCTGAATTCAGACAGACAGTTTGGAGCAGGAGCTGTTACAGAGAGGGAAAGCCAATAGGATAACCCAAGAACAACCAGCTGTTCTAAATCTTGACTACATTAAGGCCTAGTGGCCTAGTATGATTCACTATTGGTGACTATGACACATCTGTCTGTTGTCAGTGTGTTTGCGAGAAAGAGAGTAAGGGGAAAGGAGGAGCTGAGTGAATCAATGTGAAAAGATTTACAATAACACGATAACACAAACCATTATGTTTGATAACTTTTATGTTATGAGGAGTGTGAAAACATTTTCAGTTCATTGTGAAACTGTGGTGGGACAAATTACTTAATTAATGGGAAACACTGCTCGTCACACTGGTTTCCTAGTGTGGCTAAAGTTAGCAGCGCTAGCACCAGCAGCATTCTAACCTTGCAGGATCACATGTCTGTGCTGAAGGTCACATGTTGCTCCAGTCGGGTGGTTATATATAACTTATTTTCAATTTCTACATCAAAATTCTACATCAAAATTCTGTCAAACCGTGCTGTCATCTGCCCCCTGGGCAGCCCCAGCTAGTGGCAGATGTCTGTTTCACATCATAGATGCAGTTAGCAGTTAATTAGCCCAGCTTGTACATTAATTAAGTATTTATAATTAGTTTAACCGACTAGTATTTCTGGTGCCAACTAGTGAGAGTAGCAACATTTAATCATTTAGTCAACTAATCATGTACATCCCTAGTGTGTATGTGTGTGTGTGTGTGTGTGTGTGTATGTGTGTGTCTGTGTCTGTGTGTCTGTGTGTGTCTACTGGTCTCCAGAGTACATCTGTGGTTAAAGAGAGTTTCTAGCATGCAGTTGGTTTGCTTATTAATTGGCTTCTTATGTGGTCTGACCAGTGGAGTACAGTCTGTGTGTGTGTGTGCGTGCGTGTGTGTGTGTGTATGTTCTCTCGACCCTGAATCACTCCTGAATTGTTTTAATGAAAAGCTGCCATATGTATCACTGTGAAATAATAAATCAATTACTTAAGATAATTTTGAAATTTTAATATAGTTTCAGTAAAACAAGGAAACTTTATCCAGTGGATTTTATGATAAAATGAAGCTGATTGCTTAGGCACAAAGTGAGTTTTCACAAAGTTTTCACAAAGTTATGTTTTTGCCTTTATTCTTAAAGGTGCAGTGAGAGAGACAGACAGGAAAGTCAGGGGGAGAGAGAGAGAGAGAGAGGGGATAACAGCAGAAGGATATGGTTTGGATTTGAACCCAGCCGCTGGGTTGTTGGGTTGATTGTCAGTAAACAAAAAAAGTAAAATCATTTTCTGAGCCAGTTCATCTTACTTGTATGTAAAGACAAAGATGGATTTTCATTCATCATAATCCTCATAAAAACATGCATATATGGGTATTTAAACAAGCTACTGAATGAATAATTATGTTTTTATATAATTTGAATTGTCTTTTAAAATGTAAGCGTTCTCAGGTCACAGAAACTGGACAAAAATATACACAAAGTAGTATTTTGCACTTAATTATCATCCCCCAAATATTTATTTTTTCCACTCATGGAAATAATCCATCATGAGGACATGCAGGGGTGTAGCACAAAACCCTGGGCCCTGAGCAGCCTCTGTGGGCCCCCTTCCTCTCTTCACCCATATATCTCAAGCATTATTAAAAACATTTTTTACAAATGATTGGGCAGACAATTGTACACATGGATCAGTAGTGGTTATTAGGGTAGTCACTAATGAACTGTTCATACCACATTTAAACAAGTAATAACAATCTGTGATATGTCACTATATGAGCTCACCTTGTCT